GCTGGATTTTTTTTTAAAAATATATTTGGTACTTGCAGGTTGCAACTCAAATTTATAATAAGACACTAGAAGAAACTCTATACATATACAATACTAATTTTTTGTGTAATTTGTATATATTCTTAATCTTGAATCTTGTTGTCCAAGGAAATTTATGTGATGAGCTAGATTGATCTGTTTTAGTCTGTCTTGAGTTTATAAGTTGTCTTTTTAAAAATTAGAGTAGAGACTGATTAAAATTAAAATAATCAAAAGGAGTCTTGTTCTTTTTTAGGAAGTAAAGAATAACAGGTGTTTTAATTTTAAACATTTAGAAATGATTCATTCATATAATATCAACTCTCACAATTTGATATGAAGTAGGAATAGTTTTTATTCCTCTCCCTATCACAAAATAACTTGTATTTTTTAATTTTTTAATTAAAATTTTAAAATTAATTTATATGTATATTTATATTATCTTAAAAAATAAAAAATAAAGAGAAATTCTTTAGTGAGAAGATGATTAACTAAAATAAAAGATATCATATGACAAATAGAAAATAATAATTCTAATTTTGTGATAAACCAATCCTCAAAAATCCCTTGCTGAGGACATATTTAGTCATAATTGTTGAAGCATGCCCAGTAGCTTAGGTATTAAATGCTTTTTGTTCAGGTATGACGGGCAAGGTAACTTTAGGTGAAGGCAACTTCTAGTGGAAAAGGTTATAGCCCTTTACGGTTCAAAGCTCTTATGGATCATCACTAATATTCAATAACCTCAATTGCACGACGAATAATTATGAATTGGCCTATCTATGACTTGCAAAACTTAGTTTCTTCTTTTTTTGTGAGGTTAATCAAGAGCATTACTAGATCTTTAGAGAGTTTTCAAAGGATAATTGAGATGAGAGAGAGAGAGGTAGAGAGAGAGTGAGAGGGGAACGAGGTGGATGTCGTTCCTGAGCAAGACAGACGACACTAAATCGAGAGCATGAAGGATCTCGTGGAAGAAGCCAACAAAGGAGGTTTGAGCCAATGTGATAGGGGCAAGTGCAGGATGTTCAGCATTAGGCTCGGAAGATGTAGAAAGGTGGATCGTACGATTGGGGTTTATACAAACAAGCCATACCTTACTTCTTTACCAACTTCCTGGATGACTGGGGTTGTGCAGACATGTGAAGAACTTTTTTGAAATTTGGAAGGGTTTATGACATCAACAATCCAAATAGGAAAAGCAAGAATGGAAGTAGGTTCGGTTTTGTGAGATTTTTAGAGGTTAAACGCAAGAAAGAGCTGGAAAACTAACTAGATCAAATCTAGGTAAAGGGTCAAAAATTATGGGTGAATAGTCCAAGATACAATGATGAGAAGAATGGAATTAGGGAGAGAAGAAACAATGGAGAAACAGTGCCAAAGGTTCAAAGTAAAAGCTATGCTGAGGTGGTGAAGGGATTGTAAGAGAGAAAATTGGGAAGAGGAAAGGAGTACACAAAGCAAGGTAAACCAAAATAGAAGACAAAGGAGAAGTAGAAGCAAAACCAGGTATGGATATCAAAGAATGGAAATTAGGAAAATATGGCAAGAGAAAGGAAAGGGAGAAAACTAGGCTGGAATTGAGTATAATATCAAACCTGAAGATTATACATGGCTTGATAGTTGTTACATGGGACCTGTGCACTCCATTGAGATGGTTCATAATCTACAGGAGAAATTTTATATGGAAGGAGATTTCTCATGTCAAATTCATGCGATGAAAGACAGACTGGTTTTATTAGATTATTAGGATAAAGAGGAATTGAAAGACCTGGTTTGAAGAGGTATGCCCATGGACACCAGAAACGGTTGTTAATGAGAGGTTCATATGGATTAGGTGTCAAGGGACACCATTAAATGTCTGGGGAACTGATTTCTTTGCAACCATGGGCTATTCATGGGGGAATTTTATTTGCTTGGATGATAGTACAAACAAAAGGAAGAGGTTCAACATTGCTAGATTCTTGATCTCCCCTCCGATTATGAATACAATAACAGTTATGCAACAAGTCAAAATTAATGGGAGCATATACAATGTTAAATTTACAAAAGGAGGAGTTCACTAACAGTTTTTTCTTCTTGAAACAAGATTTCATACCTTCATTTCAAAGTGATTTAGAAGAATATGAGGCATGGTCCAGTGAAAGTGACATGGAGGAGCAAAAGCTTGAAAATGCAAGGGATGAAGAACAGGTTAATGTAAGATGTTCACATGAAGAAGATAATGATGTGTTGAGAGGTATGAAAAGGGATGAAAGAAGGCATCAGATACAAGCCAGATAGGAAGAACAAAAACTAGTAGAAACAGTGGGTGA